CAACTGTTTTCTCACTGAAAGATAACTGTACATATAAGAGCTGTTCGAGAATGAAGTCTAAGAGCATTCTTTTAATCGTCACTTCGTTAAGTAGTAGAATTAGAACAAACCATCTTGTTCTCGTAGATTGACGATGCTTTGATAACAGCATCATGTGATGGTCAGCCTTTGCCAGATTCAAATAAAAAGAACCAATGTTATTACTTATACTTACGTTTTTGATTGTGCAGTGGAAGCGGCTAGAACAGAATAATTTATAGGTAGAAATCAACGTACCTATATCAATGGACTACATTAATTCTTACACCTTTAGATAAGTTGAAGATACAGCCACATGTTAGTAATGACATATTCGTTGAATTTGGTTGACATAGAAATCTATGTCAAATTTAAAATCCTTCTGAGTTTTAAATTTGATATGTGCAGGATGGACAATAAATAGCATGATGATTATAAAAATGAAAAATTTCTGAGTCTATTCAATCAAATAGGCTGATTTTTTTTCTTGTTAGCAGTCGAAGTATATTCAAAGTTATTTTCATTCGGATATCTTATGCAAGTACTAGCATAAAATATTATTGTTGGCATCATGAGAGCAATTTTACTTGTTACCGAGTAGAAGAAATACATGGATAGCGTTTCATAGATAATCTTCAGTTTTTATCTAAGAGAATAATGAAAAGGAATCAAAGCGAACTTTATAAATGATACTGTACTGATGTGAATAGAGGGAATTTTCAGAACTACTTAGTAAGTTTAAAAGTCAACGATTACAATATTTCGAATTTATCAAACATGGCAGATTGGCTTTTGGAAAAAAGTTAGTGCCCGATGAGTTGTAGTAATAAGTTTTACTTACGAAGCACAATTTTTCATCATTTTAATTGATTCCTATTAATTTTGAAAATTTTCTCTGTATGCATTGATATGGTTCATTTTCATTGATTCTTATTATTCTCTTCGATGACAACTAGGAATTATCGTTGCAACGCTTCATAGGTATTTCTCCATTGACCATAGATAGCATTTCTTTAGTGAGGCTGCAAATATAACTCAACGGTAATATTTGTGTCTATTATCCGTATGGAAGAAAAAATATAAATAAACTTTTACTACAAATAAAAAGTCAGCTAATTCGAGCAAACTTCAATGAAGATGTTTCAAATTTTATCATAGTGCTATGTATAGCTCATACTGCACATTCTACAAATCAAAATGAAACTAATATGTCATTTGCTACAAAGTAAAAAGATGAGGCATGTTGTACTGTTCTGAAATCCGTCGAAAAGTGGTTTTAAATCGAAAATGGAGTGTGTTCACAGTACCACATACGAAGACGTGTAGTCTTATGTAGTGATTGAGTTTAGACTAGGCTGAATTGATAAAGGTGTTAGAATCCTAGATCTAGAGAACGATAGAGACAAAGTATTAGCTAGTTAGGTGCTGCACTTTACATTTTGAAAAAGATAACTCCAGAAACTTGAAGAAATTCTGACACAAGTAGCTAAGTAGATGATAACCGAATTTCTAAGATTGGCAACCAAATTCTAATTAGGATTAGCATAACTTTCTGAGAATTCGAAAACTAGTTTCTAATATCCTAATATGATGATTTCCGGCAAATCACGAGAAACTCGCAAAGAATCTAGTAAGAATCCATCTTTGTATTTTTGCTTAGAATCAGAGCAAAATTTATACTAGTCAGAATACGAATACCTCATTTTGAAAGAAGTCTCTCTAGAAGTTTGAAGATATCCACAAAAGGGAATCTCAAAGAGTTAGAACTCATTCTCTTTCTTTTCTTCCTCGTCGATCGTAGCAGTATTTGAAATAATTGTTTTTGCAATGACTGCATGCAAGACTTCGAATAGTTTCGATAAAAACGAGTGCCCTAAGAAGAATGTCTCAGTCTGCACAGATCTTTGTCCAGTGTCGTGAGTTTAGACAAAAAATTTAAATTATACGCCAAAGACACTCTCATTATGTAGCTCTAAATCATAACAGGTAGTTACTTTCATGAGTTTGATATCATTTTGCGAAAATCTTATCGATTCTCATCTGAAGCCGCTATGCAAATCTAGACGAGATCCTAAATAGAATTGAAAATGAATCTAAGCCATATTAGCATTTCTAATGTTAAAAAAAATCATTCTAAGCAGGAACTTTTAACAAACCCCATGAATAGGGTGCTTCATCCTCCAAACTACATTCTTAGCATTTCCCACATATGTATGGAAGAGAAACCACGTTCGTCTTTCAAGAGTTTCAAGTCATCATGCTGTGTAGCAGATCCTCTCGAAAACCAGATGATAGCTTATAAGTGTTCTTTCTATCGTTCTAGACCAGAGCCTGCTTTCCAAATCGCCAATGAATTCCTCAGTTTGTACTTGTCGTAAGCTATCTAAATGGTTATATTTTCCTATGAAGAGTTCGGATAGAATTAGCATTGATCTTCTGAGAATTTCAGGAATGCTTATTCCTGAAAAACATCCTTACAACAATCTCAAAGTGCAAGTATTATTGCTCTGGAAGACTCGACTTTTTAGGATCTAAAATATCTCGGTAAAAAGTGGAACGAATTTTGTAAACACGGATTAGGTAGGATTCGAAATGAACTCCTAATAGATCATACTAGTGGTTTTCAAGGAATTAGTAGCACTGAGAATTTGGAAGGGACAGCGCTGTGAGAATCGTTACGAAATCTCTTTTTTATATAGAACTAAAAGAAGTTTCTGAAATTTTATCTGCGAGAAGAACTTTCCTTGCTTAGAATGTTTTATCAAGCTTCCTTCAAAGAAGAATATATCTCATCCGTATCACTTGACATAATTACGACAATTCTTTTGCATTTTCGTTCACTGTAGTCACTCCTAATAGTCCCGTTAATGCCCGATCAACACGAAATGGTGTGACCGTTGCTGGGAGCCATGGACAGGGCGACGCCATCCATCAACTCTCGCAACCTTGTAGTCTCTTCGTTACTGATGACGAAACAATGGTCATCGCTGACTGCGCCAATCATCGTATCATCCGATGGAAAATTGGTGATATGAGTGGGCAAGTGGTAGCTGGTGGCCGTGGCAATGGAAATCAATTTGACCAATTGTGTTGTCCAAGCGATATGCTGGTCGATGACGAGACAAACAGTCTCATTATATGTGATCGAATGAATCGACGAGTAGTACGATGGCCTCAGAGTTGTGACACAATTCAAGGAGAAATCCTTCTGGACAACATTACTTGTCGTGGGTTGGCCATGGATGCTCAGAGATATCTATACATCTCTGACACTGACAATGACGAAGTAAGACGATATCAAATAGGAGACAAAAATGGAATTCTTGTAGCCGGTGGCCATGGCAAAGGTGATGGATTTAGTCAGCTCGACGAACCGACATACGTCTTTGTCGATCGACAACAGACTATCTACGTGTCAGACTGCAACAATCATCGTGTGATGAAATGGGATAAAGGTGCAACAGAAGGAACTGTCGTCGCTGGGGGACAAGGTGAAGGGATGGGTCTGAAGCAACTGTGGTATCCGCAAGGGCTGTTCGTCGATACGTCGAGTACCCTCTATGTGGCAGACTCGTGGAATGATCGAGTAATGTGTTGGCCTAAAGGAGCGAAGCAGGGAACAGTTATTGTGGGTGGAAATGGTGAAGGAGAACGAGCTAATCAGTTGAACAACCCCATCGGTGTGTTCTTGGATCGATATGGTCATCTCTATGTTGTTGATCGTAATAATTGTCGAGTCCAGCGCTTTTCTTTCGAGTAGACTCATTAACATACTTATTTTTTTGTTCATTTTATCAAATAAACCATGATGAATAAATGAGAATGGTTATTCAAAGAAAGGAATGAATTTCATTCATATTCTATTCGTATACGCGACCAGAAACTACCTTGGTGGAACCATGAAGAAATGCTCGGTGTATACCACGAACACTAAGAAAATTTGTGGTTGAAGTTTTAGGGACCACTTGGAAGATCTATAAACTAACACGAGCTTACACTATGTAGTCTCAAATGGAAATGACTCATCTATCCATCTTTAACGGAGGGTTTATACTAAGCTCCATCATCTGTGAGTTTATCCATATCATTCAATGAACTAACAATTCTCACCATTTTCTTCTTTCCTATTCTCTTACGCAAAAAGTGTGACTGTGAATGTGGAGTTTGGTAGAATGGAGGTCTTGCTCTTACAAAACCATACACACACAAGCGTTCACTTATACTCACTGACTCAGCCAACCGGCACATCTGCATAGATACATCTCATACACATCCACACTTTTATCAATATGGACTTTATATTGTACAAATGATTTCTACAATTCTCAATAGCTATTATTTTTTCCATACTTATAACTAACAATGTACTTTGATGAGAGTATTGATGAAATAACACAATGATACGTGATACATGACAGTAGAAAGTTTTGAGCACCCTCAGAATATACTATTTTTATGAAAACATGCAATAGAACAGAAAAAAGTACATAAGATTCATAAATCTGATACTCACTTTAATAACACAATCAAAAAAAAAGACACGCGGGATCGTTTGAGGGTTTTGAAAAGAAAAAAACATACTTCTTTACTTTCAACGTGCACAGAAGTATATGATTTCTTCTAAAAATTACTCTTTTTGAGTATTGAGAGATAATCAAGAGTTAAAATGACTCATGTTTACTTTTTCCACTTCTACTCTTTTTTACCTTTGAAAAAAGCCCATTACAACCATGGAAAAGAATGAAAAAAAAACATGTTCTCATTCTTTGTTGACGCAACTGAATCATAGATGAAAGTAAATTTTCTTTCCAATTGCACTGTTTACACTGATAAAGGGAGTGAATGACTTCATAATTGTATACTTGAGGAATGATCCGACAAAATATTCTGGGTTTGACGAAGTATATATGTCATATGATCTTCACACACATACCATGTATTTTTTCAATCAGACACACGCAGGCAAAACATATTCAACAAGAATGTTACAACATAGAATTATTTGGCTCGATGCGAATTCTTCAGATCCAATGAGTAGTTTTCATGCAAAACTTGGTGATGCACAAACATTCACTAATGTAGATGCTTGTGTTCAATATATCCAAACTCATCCAAATGAATGCATTTATCTTATTATTTCGGGGTCATTTGCTAAAGAAGTCGTACCACAAATCTATGAATCTTCAAATCTCGTGCAAATCTTTCTTTTTTGTGGATCAGTTAGCGCTTATTCGGAATGGGGAATGGATTATTGTGATAAAATGATGATATTTGACCATGGAGACGATGTTTTAGAACGATTATGGAATGATTTACAAAGCAAATTACGAGAACATGTAGCAATGTGTTTAAAACATGCAGAAGAGTGTAAACAACGAGCTTTACAATATAAACGAGCATGTGGTTAGAAGACACTCTTTTCTATAGAATTGTTTTTTTTAAACATGTTTTTATTTTATTAAAAGCTTTTTTTTCTTTAATTTTCTCACAATACGGATTTTTGTTAAGATTAGGTTGCAACAGAAAGAGCTGATCTTTATTACCTCTAATACAGACAAAGTTCTGCTATGGGTATCAATGAACGGAGTTTGTCTTCGATCTAGATGCACCCAAAAGTGCAAATATTGAATTGACATAAAAATTTTGATAGAAACAAAGTTTGATTGTATAGAAGGATGATATTCAATGGCAAAAACTATTAGTAGAAGAAATTCAGAATATATTGAATGTCTAAAAGGAAGCGAAATATGAGAGAGGCGCTAATTGGTACAGAAAACAAGTGCTTCAACAAAACCGAGTTAATCACTAAGTAACTTCTAAAAATGCCAGACTGAAACTGTCAGATTTTAAATGACCTTTATATTTTGTTTCGCATTATATATATCTGATCTTGCAAGGATTTGAAATGAGCCTAGACTATGAGTAAATATGCATAACTCACGTTCTAAGATCATCGCTCTTATGACGATCATAGATGCGTAAGTTATATGAGTCTTTTGTTAACAGATAACTACACAAAACAGTATTAGAGAACAGAAAATAAGACGATAGCATAGCTAAGCATTGACAAATAAAAGGTAGACTCTGAAGTCCATCAAAGTTCAAAAGACTCATTGATAGACTTGCAAAATTCAAGTCGTTAAGAAAAATCTCCTCTTTTGATCAGAGACTAGACAAGAGATATTACAAGAATATATCAATTTTTGAAGATGAGTCAAGACGAAACTTAGCCTTCTATTTAGTTCAAAATGATAACAACTTCAAGATATTTAGAGCGATATAATCAGTAAAACAAATAATGATCATTTTTAAAGTTTGTGACGAAACTTCTTTTTACGAACTCTATTTTACAAAATAAGCTTTGTACATTATAGTGGTTAAAACGATTAAAATAAAGCCCAATAATGAAGATGAATCAGAAAGAAATGTAAGATACGAAAAACTATAACAAAGGATGTTATAAATTATTCTTTTCTTTGTTGGCTTTTAATTGTCAACGACGAACGGAACATAATTACAATTGCATGAAAGCAACGTTGAGTTTGTAGAAGATAGATGAGATTATATGTGACATATGTCAATGGTAGAACTAATTGTTGTGTGATCCAAGACCGTTATTCACAGAAGCAATGATGTATCTAGTGGAATTTTTTCTATCGTAGACAATTTCATGCATTTTTATATGGGTGACAAATCATTGAATGAAGAGAGAATGATGTACATAGAATCAAGATGACATTAATGTCGAGGATCAAAGAATGATACGAGAGAAATTAAGTATATAAGAATACTTTCTAGGATTACGCTACCTACAAGTTGCGTTAATTCTGAAAGTTCATTAGATTATTTTCTTTAATTCTGTGATTTAGAGTTCTATAAAAAACAAATTTTATACAACATGCCAAATATTCACTAAACATTAGATAGTAACATTTCCAATAGTTCATCGATTGAAATATTCACAAACATAAGAAACATTTATAGAAAAAGTTATGTACTTATCTTATTTTGGCATTGATTAGAGAGAAAATCATTTGAGAATTTTTTAAGACTTTATTTCTTCTCCATCAATTTGAGAAGCTTTACTCAATTATCAATATATCAATTAAAAGTTTAATACGCAGATTTTCATACTAACCTTTGTGACTCGAAATGTCGCTTAATCCAACGTATCAGATAAAACAATTACATGACGTGTAATCTCAGGATTAATTACGATTTTAAAACTAATAAAAAACAAAAGAAATGTTCTTTACATAGATTAAGTACATTTATTCTGTGTGCTTCTTCCTAATGGCTAATGATTTGACATTTTTCCTGGCTTCAATATATTTGCCAAGTGAAAGGCTTTTCGTCTAGTCGTGCTGCAAATGAAACTAAAATGTTGACGACGACATGACTAATAAAATACTCAATATGATTAATAAGAAATAAGCAAGGAAGTGACACATAGATAGTGTATTTAAATAGTTCGATTGAATTGATCAATAAACCGAAGATTTCATTTGGGATAAGATCAATATAACTTTTCTGATCTAATCAGATAACTAGTAGAAGATCGAGTGACTTTTAACTGATTATGATATAATAGTTGGATAAAGTCAGTGATGCCGAGATTGAAAGTCTTTTTTTTTTCTTTTTTGATGAATAAAAGAATCCATTACAGGAAATCTATTATTGAGAATTTGTGGAGTTTCATATAGTATGAAAATTTTTCCAACGTGTTTTTTTTAATTTTGATCGATCATTAAAAAATATTCTTTTTATTTAGATTTGTTATAATAGGACCAATTGCTTCTGATCAAAATTTTTAGCCATTGAACATTATTGTTGTATATAATAGAATCATGTATAGTAGGTTTATTTGGTTTCTTCAGCTCTTCTGTGGTCAAGTTATGGTTGAAATGGCTCTTGTTAAGTACGATTTTATAATTCGTACTATTCCTTCAAATCCCGATGGTTATCCACGTCCTGTTGTCATTATGCATCATGCAAATTCTTCATGGGATATCGATAGACCTTTTCCAGGTCCACTCATTCGAGCAAAACTTGGTGATCGACTTCAAATTCGAATTAGAAATATGTTACGTGATCAATCAACTTCTCTTCATTTTCATGGATTTCATATGTTTAAAAACCCATGGGCAGATGGTACTGAACATATTACACAATGTCCCGTCAGTCCTTATACATCATTCATACAGGAATTCAACGTAACACAATCAGGGACATTTTGGTATCATTCACATAGTGCACAACAGTATGCCGATGGATTAATAGGACCAATTATTATTGATAATGATCCAATTGAACAACGATACGCTTACGGATCGAGTGATCATGTTATTATGTTTCAAGAGTGGTATCATGACACTTGGTCAGATATAATGACTGCCTATCAAGGTCCTTTTGGTGCTTATCGAGGCAATATTCCAATTTATCCATGGCCACCCACTACTTTTCTTATCAATGGACACGGTCGATTCGATTGTCGTACAACAAATTGTACAGGCAATGGTACCTGGATTGATGCATGTGGTCGACGACAACTCGTTCAATGTATTCCACTTCGTGAACCACTTTTTGGTTTATGCAAGCGTGAAGCACATTCTATCGATGAATTTCAATGTTCATCCGGTAAACAGATGCGTTTAAGATTGATTAATGCAGCCAGTGGTATCCCATTTCGTTTTTGGATTGAACAACATAATCTAACTGTTGTTGCACGTGATAGCGTCGAAGTTATACCAATTACTGTGCCTCATATTCATATTCCGATAGGACAACGAATCGATGTGATTATACAATGTAATCAGGATTCAAATCGAAATTATACAATGTTTGCTGCAAGTCGAAATAGTTTTCAACCTGCTCATATTATTACTGGACCGACACCAACAATGTGGACAACGGCAATCTTAACGTATGATAATTCTAGCATGACTATCAATAGTACGAATCAAATTTCTAATGAATTTAAGTCAGATCCAGATAACTCATTTTTTGAATATGAATATTTGAAGCCGCTTGTACCTCGCCGTGCTTTACCTGCTGTTCGACGAGTAACATTGACATCTGTTGTTCTTTGGAATACTCGAACAGGTATCGACGCTCTTGAAGAATGGGCCATCAATGGTATTACTTTTGAGACGCCAAAGGAACCATTATTGCAAGCCAATTATTTTGACGGAACATTAGACAATGCCATTGCTGAACAGCGACCGGGTCGTGTTGGTAATACTCATGCTACACATATAGTACATTTCGAATACGGATATACTTATGAAATTTTGATGATCAATGATGATCCACAACAACATCCATGGCATATTCATGGATATACTGTCGATTTTATTGCTGCAGGAAAATTGCCTACTACAGAGCCAGTTACGTGCAATTCAACAGGAAGACGAATAGAAAATTTTGATTATAATAGTATTCTTCCACCACTTAATTCAACACCCGCTGTTCTTACTGTAGGCGATTCATTCAATATGCCTCGAGAAAGTTATGTAGTATTTCGGTTTACGGCGAACAATCCAGGTCCATGGTTTCTTCATTGTCATATGGATTGGCATATTTCACCTGGTTTATCAGTTGTTCTTTCAGTTGGAAAAAATGGACAATACAAAGATTTGATAGATCCTCCGTACAACAACTTTAATATGTGTGGAACAAGTCAACGATGGGCTAAGAGACAACTTATGTTAAATGACTATAATAATCAAACCCACCATTGACCTATCTTCTTTTATAATTTTTCTTGTTATTTCTATACATTTAGCCTTCAAGTGCTAATCTTGTTGTGAATAAAATATCATTATCAGTATAGCCGATTCATTGAGTTTCAAATTTTAATCCCACATGAATAACACTGAACGCTTTGTGCATGTATTGGTAATCTGAATTAGTAAAACGATGTGATTTTCAGAATAGAATAGTTTTCGTTGAAATCTCAGGAAAACACCTCAGAACCTTCCCTTGTTAGTATGTGCTTGCCACTAGAAGCAACAGATACGCATCACTTATGAGTATAATATACATTGCATTCACATCAGATCAAATACATGAATGTTTGTAAGATATATTAGCCAACATGTTAAATATTTAAAAGAATAAAGAAAAATTCCAGATGTCTATAAAACGCTTCCTGGATACGGAACGAGACGTGATGAAGAAATGAGAAAATTCTCCCTGATTCAAGCTGTGAGAATCATAAGTTTTCAGATTTTTACGAGTAAAATCGTCGAACGATGGACAAAATGCGTATGAAAAAAATATTCAGTAGTGTAGACTCTGACTATTTTATGTATCTTACCGGATGGAAGCGTGATTAATTATGTTTCATGTGACACATAATCTACACTTTTTTCTATACAAATATCCGTTGGAAAATAAAATACTATTA